ATATCTTCTCCTCTTCCTCCGCTTATGTTCGTTTTCGTTTTGTCAGAAGTAAAGAAGGCAAAGAAAAAAACTGTCAGAAAAAAAAGAAAGGAACCAGAGAACGTCCCGTATCTGTCACCGGGCAGACAAGAACTGAGCGGAATATAATCTAACAGAGTGCACGAAACGTCGAGCCGAATGGAGTTGGAGGACCTCGAAGGTGGTCAGGATTTCCCCTTCTGCAATCCCTTCCCCACTCGAAGAGACCCTCCTGTGATGACGGACAATTATCCCCACTTGTTATTTTCTACATATTTTCCCCTCCTCCAGATATCACCGGCGCGATCACATTTCGCAGTGTACCCCAACTTTGCCTTCTCTGACTGAGTCTGTCACGAGAGATCCCCACCATCGTTATCGACCACTCAAGACGCCCCACTGTTTGACGTTCTCCGACGCCTCATGGAGAATACTTACTTTCGTCCTGTCTCGAGACTGCCGTTTGCGGCATAGACCAAGCGACGCAACATTTTTTTTCATCTAACAGTTTTCTCTCTCTCTCTCTCTCTCTCTCTCTCTCTCTCTCAAAATTAACGAATTTCAGTATTGAAATATTAAGATCCGCACTATTTGCATAATTTCGATTTGAATAATATATTATATTGGACAATTCATAATTGGATTTATAGCGTTGCCATTCAATCACTCAAGTTTTTGTTACTTTTTTTTTAAATCACTAAAAACTAGTTATTATTGTCCAAAATGAATCACTATAACTATCTGTTTTTCTTGAGCTGACATAAGATTTAAGAAACATAAGCGTTCTATTCGTATTTTTGTTCTCTCATCTGATAACAATGAATTGCTACCCGCTCACCGTTGATAACTAGGTATTAGTCCATAGGTACTCGTTCCTGTTAAATTTGTCGTTTTTGAGTTTCAGGTAGATGTGAAACTAAAAGATAATATAACTTTTGATGACTACAAATATTTTTTGCACATTTAAAGAATAGGTTTTGCTTTGCATTTTTTAAATTTTTATCTATTTTTCATTATATCTGATGAATGTGTTTATTTTTTTGCTTTATCAAGAACATCTAGATACATTGCTATGCTGTATGTTAAACCAAGCCTGTCCAATTTGAGCTCCAGAGCCAAAACGCAAAGCCATCAATGCAAAAAAATTCAATGTAGATAAGATTTTGGGGACTGTAAAGTTAATACGCATCTGAGTGACGCTTATCAACATTTTATAGTTCCTAAAATCTTACTCACATTGAATTATTTTGCGTCGATGGCTTTGCGTTTTGGCTCCGGAGCTCAAATTGGATAAGTCTGTGTTAGGCTATCCAAAGATAAACCAAAATAAGAGTACAAATGTTATTTTTTTATTTAAATGGCCTTAACTACTCTAAAAATTTTATAAAAAGTTTATTATTTTAATGCCTCAAAGATTATTTTTGTCACTTTTTTCATAAAAAAAAAACAGTCACTATTTCCTCTTTTTTGCTAATAACTGAATAACAACGCGCTAGGTATTTAGGATTTTAGAATAAATGTTATGATTAGACGAAGATAATTATTTTGAATGACAAATTAGTGCTTGTCAGAATACTACGTGTAAAGCGAAATCTCCTACGTGTCACTTCCGTCGGCAAGCTCACATCGAAAGACTACCGCTCGTGGTACAGAAAAACAAATGTTGAAATCGTCTTTAGGTGTAGAGACAGCTGCATATTGTACGCGCCTCGTGATACTTTTCGAGGATCAGTACAATATACATATATGTATATTTGTAAAATATATATAATTATTTTAAATAGAAAAATTGTAGTAGTTACATTATAAAATTGCGTAAAATATTAAATATTTATTGAAATTTTTAGTTTTATTATATTATAGTTTTTTTTACAAAACTATTAAGTATATGTTCTAAAAAATAAAGTTTTATGTAATATCATAATTCAAAAATTTATAAAAAATATATGTAAATGATATTACAATAAATACACCTAGAATTCAGAAAATAACAGAAAATAAAGACGATACGAGCTTGTTCTAGTACGAAGGATTTCGTTCTGTATGATTCGCAGAAGTGTGAATGTATTTATGAACTATAAGCTTTGTCAAATGATTCACAAACTTTGCGTCATCATCAATGATTACGATTTACATGTTTATAGATTTTTTTAATTACTAAAATCATACGTATGAAATAGTGTTAACCCTTGAACACCACACTATTTTCGCCACCTGATTTCACCACACATGGGTTACGGTAACCTTGGAGTCTTCTTTTGCTTTTATCCCGAGATCTAATGCATCAATTTTAACTTTTTTTTTTAATCGATACAACAGACAGTAAGGAAAAAGAATATATAGATAAGAATATCATAAAATTTCCGGTAACTAAGATATTTTGAAAAAAAAGAAGAAAGAAATTTTCAAAAATCATTGTTGTTTCAAACGGACTGGGTTACCGTAACCCAGTGTGGTGTTCAAGGGTTATAATTGAAGTGTGAGAAAGATAAAAAGATAGAAAGAGGAAATTTTAATTATTTTCTCATTATATTTTTTTATATTGATTAATTAACTCGTCATCATAATACAATTAATTCTCTATTTCATTTTAGATTTTAAGATTGCTGCTAGTATCATATACTTATAAGATATTTTAGACAATAACAAACAATTATGACAATCAAGATTAGTATTATCTGATGTCAGTCACTTCTTTTGATGATCTATTAATGACAAATAATTTTTATGTGCAGAATATAATTGAAACAAATTTACGTAATTATCAGATGATTGCATAACAGAACAATTTCTTTGCATTGGCGCAATCTCTCACGTCATCCAAAAAAAAGCAGCAAACAACAAAAAGAAATGGCGAAAAACGGATCGCGATCTGCACTCGACTTTTGCTATCAAATTTAAAAGGTCGTGACCCGTGCATGTGTACAGTGCGTGAATTAAGAAATACGAAATATTTCTTTTTTTCTTTTCTTCTCTCTCTCTCTCCCCTCTCTCTCTCTCTCTCTCTCTCTCTCTCTCTCTCTCTCTTTCTTTCTCTCATTTCTTCTCGATTACATTCGACATAAACGATAAAAGTAAGCGTGATTATCCGATTACTCTTTTTTTCATAGAATTGCGAGGTGTAACAATCAATGGGAATCTATCAATAAATTGCATTCATCAGTCAATAAAATCTTATCAGACGCAGATCCGGCATATCAGATAAGACCAGTATTGATGGATAAAATCACGGTTAAAATAAAATTGCAGTATTATATAACTGATGTATCGAGGAAAATTATTAATCGCATTCATTGCCGTTAATTAATAACATCCTCCTAAAAAATAATTTTTTCTTTTTTGTCAATTTTTATTGAACCGCGAATTCTTATTTGCCAAAGGTACGATTCTTCCTTCATATTGTACATTCCCATTTATTGTCACGTAATAAAGATAAATCCAACGGTTATTGTGCGCACAAATGCGCGCCGATCAAATGAATCAACATAGAACCATGGATATGACGCATGATGCCTTTGATGCGAGTCTTGCGATGCGAGCAATCTGTCTCGTTCCCTTCCCAGAATCAGAGGGTAGCAAACAATACGATCCAATGCGTGGATCATTTCGATCGGTGAATGAACCCTTATCATCAGCAAGCATCGAAGAGAAAAGCGCGAAGAGCAAGAGTCGTGCGAAATCCGAATGAAATTACCCCTCATTTGTTATTTAATTCAATTACCATTAATCTCACTTTTTATTATTATTATTATTATTTAAATGCCGGCATCTTATAGTTTTATCCTTGTATTAATTATTGTCATAAAAAGAAAGAAAAAATATTAAAATATAGACTAATTGCTAAAACTGAAACAACTAGTAGGCAATCAAAGACTGAGGAAAATCAAGAATATCGAGAGAGAGAGAGAGAGAGAGAGAGAGAGAGAGAAAGAGACATGATGAAAAGAGACGACTTTAGGATCTCTAGTACCTAAATTCATAGGCTCGTGCCCGAGATAAATCAACAAACACAGCAATGAGGGTGGGGACAATCTTCGCTTTCATATGGTTGTTAGCATAGGGTCAGGCAGTCTTCCGACGGTTGCGCTTTGTTTCGGGCTGTATATTAAGTATCGCCTACGCACACAAACCTGCGTGAAGCGGAATAGCTCTTAAAGCTTGCGAGTAAATATTTTTGCGCACAGGAAAGGACCGTACGTTTGCATGGATGCAACAGTCTGGGCATACGTCTTGGATAACGTTTGATCATACCGCACTTTCGATAAAAATTATGTTTTAACATAAATATTTTTATATCGTTGATATACACACCGAGCATTATAACAGCTAACTGGTTCAATTTATTAATGCTTAACTGATCCTTATTTCCTTATTAAAATAAATCACGATTTTAAGGCTTCCGGTATAAACCCAAGATTATTTTCGTTTTCCTGACTGTGAATCAAATATTATAATTTTAATTTTATTCTTGTTTTGTATACAAAGAATGACGCATGTATCGTATTACATTTTATATTTCACAGACGGTAACTGAATGAATTCTCGGTAAATGATGAACTTCGAGTGAACAATTTTCTATGCGAGATAATTAACCGCAGATCTCGAAAAAAAAATCACGTTGCAATGGTGTCAACGAACGATGTATATATAATATAATAATGTAATTTAACATTATATCGTGATTGATTTTTTAAACTAATCTTCTAACAATAAAGTGTCAATATAGCACATCTCTACGCCGTTTTGAAAGACACGTGAAAAATATTTCGCGTTCAGCACTAGTTTATTCACTGATTTATTCTATTTTCAACACTAAAACAATTTCACCCTTAAAAAACAAGAATTTTTTCTAAAGACGAGGGAAGAAATATAGCTTCGCCGCAATAACGGGAACTGAAGAGTTTTGAAGTGAATTCCGTTCTCATTAAACACATTCGTCCGTGTGGTGCAACGATATAATGATAACGATAACGATTACTAACCTGGAGAGCGGACCACTGGGCGAATGCGGCGCGGAGGGGCCTTGATCGTGTTGGTCCTGATGGTGATGAGGAGTACCAGCGGTGTGATGCGTGTAGATCGAGTCAATGTACAGCTGATCGGATACACGCTCGGCTTCCTGCAATCCGTGATTGGTTTGCACCGATGGCGGTGGTTGCATAGCCGTAAGGTGCGTAAAAGATTGCAATCTGCCCTGATCAGTGGGACTGTAACCGGTCTCCTGGGCTTGGCGATGTGGCGATGAGAGACCCTGATCATCGTGCGGACTATGGCTGGAGGTCGGAGAGCCACCGACGGTCCTCACCGATGGAGAACCACCGCCAGTCGGGGGAGCTCCGCCAGCGCGAATTTGATGTTGCAGATAAGGTTCTTCGGACAATACATCCTCCAGGTGGTGCGACGTATGATGATGATGATGATGATGATTGCTGCCACCATTACTAGACGTAGTATTTGACGAAGTGAGATTCGGGAAGAGTACACCTAAATAATCACCCCGTGCACCTCTCATGGCCGCGGTGATGCTGCTCACCCCTCGATCCACGTCCTCGTCAGTTTCTTGATGTTGCTGCGGATCCTCTAGATGACGGTGAGCGACGGCTGATAGAGCGGTATGCTGATGCACCTCGGATAAATGATGATGATGCTGCTGTTGTTGATGGTGATGGTGGTCCGTTGTGGTTGGTGAGAGTGTCTCGGTTCCGTAACGATGCATCGTGGAGTGAGGCATGTGACTGCCAGCACGGCGTCCCTCCGGCGCGATGGAGGCCTCCGTCGGGTGCCGGTTATCCCCTCCCTCGGGAACCGGGACCTCTCTCGCCCCAAGCTGAACATACTGTTGCGCCTGTTGGTGATGGTGTTGCGACGGCTGCTGCTGTTGACGATGATGGTGGTGTGCGTCATGCTGTTGATGATGATGTGGTTGGTGGGGCGACTGCGAAACCTGTTGCTGCGGCTGCTGCTCCTCCCTCATATCACCGCCCCCGAAACTTTGGGGGTTAAAAACGAATTGAAAAGACTTTTTTATCAACTAACATGCAAATATAAAAAATTCAATAACTTTGATTAATAATTTTCATCTATCGATGCACTTGAATGTATGTGATAATATCTTCTTATAGAGGTTCGATTAACGGTAATTTGTTAAATGATAATGTTATAATACTGAAAATACCTTTCTAAGCATTTTTAATATCGTTTCAATACCGTTAGGAATCGTAATAATAAAAATATCATTCCAGAATAAATTTGAAAAAATATAAGGGAAAGAAAATCAAACTTGACACAAACTGTAAACAGTTCTATCCGTTCCGAAACATAATTATAAAGGGGTACAAAACTCCGTAATTAAATGACATCGTTTTACTAGCATTTTACGTATAGAAAACATTTGTTTTGATCAGGATATTTGCCCCAACTCACTCACCTCTCATGAATAATGTGTGTAGGATGATAGTCGAGCTCGTGAAGGGTATAAGTAGTATTGGGATCCTCATTGGCATGATCGTCGGCAGCAGCGGCGACGGCGGCGACCGCAATAGCGACTGCTTCGGCACCGGTTGGTTCAACCATGGCGCCATTTTCCATTTCCGGCTGTCCCGCCTCCAGCACGCCCACACCGCTGTCCTCCTCTTCAGTCTCTTCAGTCGCCACAAATGCCAGCTGTTGCTGTTGTTGCTGCTGCTGCTGTTGCTCCTGCTGCTGGCCGACTTCGTGTCCGATGACGTCCTCGCTCTTTATCGCCGTCACCGCCACTGCTTTGTCCCCCTCCTCCTGTTTAACAATTGCCTCCCTGGTGGACTGCGACGCTGGTTCCGTGGCCCCGACATATCCGATCAAAACTATATAACCGTCAAACAAATTATTGGATATCTCATCCGATAGGTTACGAATATATTCATATAGAAAAATCCTAGCTAAGCACGTGTGTTTAAAGCCTGTATAATATACTTTCCAAGACTTAAATAATATCGAAACTATCGACAATGAGAATTTTGGTACTATTTTTTATCTTAAGTTTATATAAATTATATAGATAAATTATCATGAAAACAGGATATTAACATTTCACATTTAATTGTCACAAACTTGCAAGCATTCTATTAAGGATATCTCAAAATGTTATAAAGATTATATCATTGCCACGTTGTATTTTATTAAAAAAAAAAAGTATAAATTGTTTATTTTATAGTAAAAACAAGTACGATAACAAGTTGCATAATCATTTGACAAAGTTCCGAAACGTAGACTGATTTCCATATATGTTTGTATATATAGCATACAAACTTATATATTTCTTTATGTGTAAAAAAGACAAACGACAAATAAGTACATTTTAAAAAAATGTATTTGTTGGCATCGCATTATCTAATATTACGGATTCTTCTCCAAAAGAAATATATTTCTGTTCTCTTTTATTTCTCAGCGCATAATTATGATCCTACATGTGTAATTTATTATCATGGATCTTTTTTGTGAAAACAATAATATTGAGTAATGAAAAAAAAACTGAGAAAAACAATATATTTCGCTCAATATTTTTCTTAAAAGATCTATTTCTATCTCTCTCTCTCTATTAAATTAATGGAAAACTTTCTTGAATTAAAATTAAAATCCCGGTTATATGATACTTTCTAAATTCGTAAAATATTAATTATAAATTGATGTAACATGTAAAACAAAAAATCTTTAGTTTAACTGACCAGCTGAAATGAATGGATTATTTCGGTTGCATGTCCGTTCTACTTTATAACTTAGTAACCGCGATCGCATAACCACGCAATAAAAACCGCAGGAGTGTTGAAATTCGATTGAGATTCGACAGAGGCGTAGGGTACATCACGTGATGACACCGAGAAACTGTTGCTAGCCGGTGCGTTACAAAAATAACCACGTGCTCTTATCTACGCGTCGTTAGTAGTGGCACACGCACTCACGCACGGATGGACACTGCGTGCAAGTAAAAAGAAGCGAGAATGAGAGAGTGGTAAAGGAAGAAAGAGAAACGTGGCTAATAAGAGTAAAGAAATGAGGAGAATGATTTCCCAAGCTGTTCTCTCTCTTCATCTCTTGGAACGATAAAAATATTATTTTTAATCGGCGAGGGGTTCTCGTATCATGTTAGGACCAACCAGCACATATGTAGCAATTCTAATCTTGAATTTTATTTATTTACTTAAATCTTATAATGTGCCAATTCTCGGAACTTTCGGAAGTTCTTTATAAGCATCAAATAATTGAAACGAAATGCGGCATACTGCATGTACGCTCTTGCGCTCTTAATAGACCATTGTCTGACCTCGAACGATGTAATATGGGTCGATCGTGACGATTTGATGCGTAACTCGATTGTCCACGCGGCCGCTGAGTAATCGGTCGCATGAACGTGCGACGCACGAGGGAAAACCTCAGGAATGTCACGTGCGTTCCGTAAAATCGATCTGATCCTAGCTCGTGACTTTGTTCATCCGACAAAGTTCAGATATCATTACGCATCTATGACTGATATTTATATTTCCTATATTAAGAAAGAAAAAGTAAGAAAGTTCCGTTTAAAATTGCCCAAACTACATTATCGTGAATCAACAAGTATTCGGCGCAACATGGAAATTCTTACAACTTTGTTTTATCTGAGCCTTATTATTTTTTCGTCCGAAAAGTAATTAAAATTAAAAATAATTAGTAAATCGAACATATGAAGTTATCGTAATTTTATTCATCTGTATAACATCTATATTCACTTTTTCTGACATAGTTTTCATATTATGTGAAGTATGTATTAATAATTTATATATATAAATTAGTTTAAATATTAATATATAATCTGAAGAATTTTACATACACGTATACACGTTATCTTTATATGAATCTGAATGATAAAGTATCTTTCGCTCGAGGAATGCACGGATTCGATTTAGCGATCTTATTGAAGCTACCGTAATACCCTATATCATCCCTGAAAGGCAGTATATCGACCGTTTAACATTGAATCGACCTTATTGACATTACCTAATCGAATTGGAGAGGTCAGGCTCATTGGATTATCGCTGCCGCTCGGCGAATCCTATTAAAAAACATATTTTTGCACAAAAGGTCCAAGTACAGTTCGCTTTGACCAACCTCTGAAATAATGTAAATAAAATGTACGTTTGTACAAGGTAGTCTGACGCGTTGCCGATAATACTGCCTATCAAAGATTACTCTTTCAACATCAAAAAAATAACATGCGATTATGAGAATTGTATTTAATTAATTTTAAATTTTTTAATAAATTTTAAATTCAGTTTCACATTATTTCTTCATTTACACCTACGTATAATCACTTTAAAGAGACAAAATATTTTTTCTAAGAAAATAACCAAATTATTCCTTTAAGAAAAGTATCACAAAATTTTATTTTATTCAAATAATCTTATTTCATTCATATCAATTATAATTAATTAATTAATAATTGATTATTTTTTTACGCTTTAATGAATACGAATTTTATTTGACAAGAACATAAAATAAAATATATGCTGTAATGACGCAACAAAATAACAACGTAAGTATAAAAACTTTGTAAGAACTTGGAATAAAAGACTTTAAAAATCGATGGAAAGGAATTAGCCGCTTCTGTCGTATTATCTACGACGAGAAGATGCAGAACTGCAACCCCGATTAATCATTTAATGAAAAAAATATACATTTGTATGGACATTATATGATTGCAGCGAAGACCTTTTTCATCAAATGATCGATACGGACAACAAAAAAAATGCGCGCGATCAACTTTACGAGTATAAGTAAATAATATTATATTATTCGAATATCGTTTTCTTATATCAAATAAACATATTACCACTTCTAGTTTCATAATTAATATATTTTATTCTCTTTTTATCGTGCGTACATCTTTTTATAAGTTTTTCAATTTCCAGATATCATAAAACTAGAAAGATTCCATAGATTACTCTTTATATTAATATTTTATAAAATCCATTTATTTTTAATATTAATATCTATCTCACTTGTTTTGCATTTATTTGGAATAAATCTGTATTTTTCGAGTTATTGATTGCGAAAACGTAAAGTGCGCGCAAGTGTGCAGCTTTTGAAATTATTAATGGCATGAGAATAGATAATGGAGCGTTTATTATCCTTCAAGATATATGCGGGAATTAATGGAACCGTTTTCCTGAACGGTAGCGAGTTTCAGAATCATTGGATGAGCGGAAGAGGTTTTGTACACCGAGGCCAGAGGTTGCTCTTATCTTTCAGACCCCCACAAAAACAGTCTCTGTTATCCGCAATATGAACGAACATGGTACGTGTATATATATATATATATATATCGATGCGATTTATGACGAGATTTTCAAAGATTGAATAGCCTCTTTATCTCTATCTTTCGAGCCCTGATCTTTCTCTTTTTATTTTCCTTCTTCTTCACTCTCTATTTGACAAAACTCGTATAATTTATAATACGATAAATTTAAATAAATGATTTGTTTAAATAATTGTAATGGAAATATGTGGCGTGAGTACGCACATTTTATTTTACTATTAAAGAAAAAAAAGAGAGAAAGAGCAAGATAAAGAGCAATATATATAAATAAAGAAACTATTTTTATATATTTCATAATTTTGTTAATTTCCTTCTTATCCATATTAAAATTTCACAAGACAAAATTAAGATGTTTCTACAAGGCGTTGGAAGAACAGGGAATGCATTGTGAATAGGTATAAGATGAAGTAAGGCAAAGAGAGAGTGGTCGTTGAATAGGTACAACGAGTTAGGTATGGGTGCGTTCTGCCTATTTCCGATAAGAAGAAAAAGGCCAGGTGTTTTCGCGTACGAGGGTGACATATTCTCGGCACATCGTAAAACTATAATTTATAATCTGCAATTGACATATACCTATGCACGCAAAGTATGCAAAAAATGATTCACAATGATTGAGTCACCTGCGTTTGTTCCAAAAGGCACGTATAAAAAAATGATAAAGAGAAATGTATGTATCATCGCATGACGATCAACTTATTATACGAGGGGCACTATTTATATTTTGAGCCTAATAATAAAAAAACAGTAATTTGTCATTAAAAATGCATTTTATTGTTTTTCAAAATATTCTCCTTTATGATCTATACACTTTTGCATGCGTTCGAACCACTTGTTTGCACCAATCGACACGAGCATCTTTTTGAGATTTTGTCAGATTATGTGGGATCCAACGAGAACAAACCTTTTTCACGGCTAAATGATCATGCAATATTTTATATATGCTGGTGGAACTAATGCCTAAGGTTGTCTCAATCTCACAGTATGTCACATGACGATCTTGCATTATTAGTTTTTGCACAGCATCAATGTTTTCTGACACAACAACTGATTTTGGACGACCTTCACGACTTTCGTCGGTGAGCGAACGGCGACCACGATTAAATTCGTCATACCAGCGTTTCACAGTGGCAAAGGATGGGGCTTTATCGCCAAAAGTGGAAGCAAGTTGATCGATGCACTCCTGTCTTGATAATCCACGTCGAAAGTCGTAATAAATCATTGCACGAAAATTTTCACGAGTTAATTCCATTTTTTCGCTGAGACACAATTTTCAAGTGACTGTAAACAATACAAATCGCGCTCAAATAACAAAACGTTCTGAAGAAGATTATGGTCAAAAATGTCAAACTTTCTAGTGGAAACGTCAAATGGCACCTGACAACACTCAGTGTTGCCAAGGCTCAAAATATAAGTAGTGCCCCTCGTATATTAAATAATTAATATGTATTAAATAATAACTTTTTTATAAAATTAATAATCCAAAATATCTTAAAGTGAGGCTAAGCATTCTGTATA